ACTGACAACAGGAATGCCACTGACGTTAACTAACCCCATATATTTGTTTCTGGCCAAGCAAAGGAAAGGTCATCTGAACCCCATCCTGGGAGACAAACAGCACCTAAACTATTCACGACATCCTGGAAATTATTTGCCTATTTTCCTAGGCATACTCAGTTATTTTCCAGTTCGAATAGGAGGAGGGTTAGCTGAATTTCTCTTACAGTAAAGCCACACCCTAAAGATCGATATGGTTTTCTTATCCCACCTAAAGACACCCAGTTTACCATGAAAATATGTTCGTGTTTTGGATTCGTGCGGATGACTCAGTCAGCAGTCAACCGTTTCACGAAGACGAGTGTGGTCCTATTCATGAGATAGCAAAGTGTGGCTGTTGGGTTGTTCGCTTTTCGTCACCGGTCGAGCTGACATTATTGATGCACCGTGGGTGAAAGTGCACTTCCACAGTATTGCGAAAAACCTCCGGAGTAAAGGAGAACCGCACGTCTGACAGCCCATCAAGAGAAGTTCCGAAAGACAATGGACAGTGACCTTTTCGAGCATTCGGAACGCTTGATGACTTTAGTCGAAAACATCCAAAACTTGTAGGAACGACGAGTAGAAAACTGGATGTAATATAGTGATCGGTCTTCTGTAGCCTGGTAAGGGCGATGATACCACAAGCAGTTGTACCATACTTGCGGTTTCGGTTAATTTCTGTGCATTTGCGTTGTGTTCACTAGGTTTCACAAAAATTTTACCAAGCCCACTACCCGCGAAGAGCAGTCTTGTATATGAGTCCTAACAAAGAAGACGAATGAGCATTCCCGTAGAGAGGCTTTACGAAACAATGAGATAGAATATCAAACACGATGCCAGTTACGATCATACCGTCTGCGTTCTCTGCCTTGAACGAAAACGATCAGCATTCCTCGCGGTGAAGTACTGTTGTGCAGTCTCGTTGTTATGACAGATTAGGCTATAACAGCAACTAGATGAAGTTGTCATAAAGACATTACAACCAACTCGTCGCTTGCTTTTGTGCATTTAACCAAAGAAGGATCAATCAATTGCACAGCAAGTAAACCGGCACATCGCAGGTTTCATATATGGCCTCGAACACCAAAAGAACAGTCTATGAAGGGTGACGTGTGCAAAAAATGAAGTTCAGTTCTAAAGTTAGCGGTCAAGACCAATCGCGTGGAATTTCCGTGCTCCACACAGTCCAAGTACAAACGTCAGGTTTGCTACGGCAGTGTAATGAAGCTTTGCCAAAAACTCAGTGACCAACGTGGACAAGGCAAACATCGAACACGTCAAGGATGGATGTTCCCATGCCTTATATGGGCGCCGAACGCTAGCACGTGCAGATTGTTATCCCGTCCTGCAAGCATGTTACGCAGACACGGACCGGCACGCCAGCAGATCGATAGCGCACACACCGGCCAACTGCTGTTGACATCATCCATTCCAAACTGTGTCAGTTCGCCTATTTCTCTCGGTTACACGAATCCCTTTTGCTACGTCAAGATATACATACGTGTGCTAACGGCACCCGGGAAGCAGACAACTGCCGATCGATCATCAATCAACAGGAGTGAATGCCAAATGATTCCGAACGGGAAATGTAGGGAACTAAGGTTAGATATGTAAGAAAAAACAGGTAGAGATAAGGACTAGGAGCTGTGAACAACCTAGCTGATTTGGAAAGCCGCGAATGCATGTCGGGGGCAGTTATACGGTAGTTGGAGTGCTTGGCTTTGCTCAACACTGCATCACAGGAATACATCACAGGAATATTCGGGTCCTAGCAGGTGAAAGAATTATCAGGATTTGACCCGTCTCGATGATGCACCTTGTAATCGAGTAGTTCTACTTGTGCTATTGTTTGTTTGCTTACGTATAGCGCAGTGTGGACTCTGAACTTCTAGCCCTGAGGGTTGACACTGCACACGGCATTGACAAGCTGGATTCTAAGCTCGCTTCCTCCCCGTCTAATCAACCAACTGTCCCAATATCTCGGCGAGATGGCCGAACTGATTAGAGCGCCAGTTTACTGACCGGAACGTTCGTGGTTCGAATCCGACCTCCGCCTCTCGACTTCCCCTGTCTAGGCTTGGGCAACCTGTTAGTATCCCACCCTCGTGCCCTCCTATGCGTGGCATGGCAGTTAGGCGCCGAAAGGGTGCTACAGCTGAACGAACATCTCCAACGGCTGTTTTGCATACCAAGAAAATGAACGCAAGGTGTTATTGATGTGAGGGACTGAGTGTGATGGATTCGACAATTGCCGACGAAATCATGCCATTGGTTGATAAAAACGCAGAGTGGCTCCTTCCAAAACATATCTTCCGACGTCGCTGGTCAGATATCCAAATTGCTTCTTCCTGAACGAGAACAAACTTTACCGACCGAAAAGAAAGTTGGGATAGTTGGGGGTCTGTTGAATTTTTCAAGGATTTTAACCATATACGTTCTCAAAACTGTGCGAACAGTTTAGTTGTGTGAATTTGGGATTCACTACTGAGTTGGCTGAAACGCTGCTGTTGTATAGTCTAAAGCGAGTCAATGGCCAACTATCGAATTCATTCGAGATAACTGCTGTAGTTGTTGGTCCAAGAACCCCGCCGTTTGCGAACGATTGCAAACTAGGGGGAATAACGAACAGTGACATCGATTATGAACGGTTACAGGATGATCGAGTGACAAGTGACTGCTGCCTACGCGGCTCTTTTTCAATGAATAAAAGTGCACAAACGCACCCTGTGTTGAGATCCGATGAGGAATATCCAGTCAAACATGCGTTGTCCAAATACCTGTGCACTTCCTATCAAAAGTGTATGTTGCGCCAGCTAGGTTTACTTAGCAGAGCAATTGGGAACTTTGAACTACGTACATTTCTTATGTTTTGTGCTATGCATATGCGCCCTCACCTTAAGCATGCCGTTCGAACTAAGCCCTCCTAAGAAAGCCGCGAAATATGACTGACTGTTGAATGTTCACTTTATCATCATCATCATCGACAGCATGACATCAGTGTTCAACACCAATCCTTCACTGCCGTACAACCATGACTTATTTGAAAGCCTTATTGTAAAGAAAAGAGTAAAGGTGGACGAGGAAGGGACTTAGTGCTAGCTTACCAAAATCATTCCAAGGTACCTAGACCTCTAGACATTCACTCAGGCAATCTGGATAGAAACTGACAACAAGAACGCCACTGACATCGGTTGGCAGCCATATCTTGTAGTGTCTCCAACCAGGCACAGTGAGGATCAC